ATGTATATAAGGTGTAAATAGATGTCGCCTAAACAAGCAAGAATGTTAATTTGGAGCCCCTTAGTCAACAAAATTTGTTATATCACAAAGAATATACCAAAATAAAGAATGATTCTCTAAAAATGAGATAGAATTGAAGATAAAGAAATGAAAGGCTCCACAGTAATAGTGTTTATAGAAATCAATTGAGGGGATGGATCTTATTAATCTAAATAAAATATTTTATTGCTTTGATATCGCTAAGTACTTGCTGACTGTTTGATCTCATAAAAGAATTAACTCATGCCCTAAAAAGTGAAAATGTACATAACTTTTATGAATATTTCATGCAGTATGTTTTACTAATAACCTTCATCCCTAGGTACAAATTCATATGCAACCTGAAAACTAATGTGTTACATTGCATTACATAAAAAACTCTAGTGATAGATGATCTGGATTGAGAAGATCGAATTATATTTATACATAAATGATTGCCAAATAATGAAAACAAAAAGTATAATATAATTTTATGAACAAAATGGACATAAAAAATATAGAAATAAAGCCCGAACCAAAATAATAATATGCTTATAAAAAAAAAGATATCATAGTTTGAAGACTATAAACTTAGAGTTTAGCAATAAAATTAAAATACCACCAAAAAAGCAATGGTCCTTTAAAAAGTTAATGATATTGAAACAATGATAGTCTTTCTCCATCTCCAAAAAAAAAAAATCCAAATATTGAAAGATGCGATGAATAATTTTTTTTTAAAATTTTATAGTTTACTACTAAAAATAGTGGTTGTATGAATACTACTTGATATTGGGTTGATTAAATTGCATATGTTGATTCAATGAAGATGGTAGTGTTGATTACATTTATAAGGATGGTTAAATCATATAGCTCGTTTGACAGCACGCCACCTTTTTAATTATAACAAAGCATAATTCTGTTTTTTTTATATTATTTAATTGCATGGATTGACATGATTAATCTACTTGAATATGTAAATAGTTTTCTTGAGCTAAAAACTGTCAATCTTTTTTGTTTGCATACAATGAAATGTTTCATGCAGTTGATTTATTCAAAATTATCCATTTATTAGGCAATAACTTGTACATCTCGGCGTCCTAATTTTAGCTTGGTGTGGTTACTATATCAAGAAGAACTTTAGACAGCACATAGGGATGCAATCCCATAGTGGGATAAACTAAATTCTATATTTAGCATCTATGAAGGACCTAATATAACACCGCACCTTCGGATGACATAAATATGTCTCAAAGTTGAAATGGAATCAAACAATAACCACTTGAAACATTAGAACTTAAATTAAATTCTGATCATGCCTAAGAAAATGTGCTAGAATTGGGCTAATATAATCTTAGATAATATTCAATAAATAAAAAATAAATAAAAAGTTCTTATGCATTTACTATGAGTTTTTGAGTTATTCTAATACTTAAATTTAAGATATAATTCTTCTTTAATATTCTTTATGAAAATTATAGAGATATTTTGTGTGATACCCAAAAAAGATCTTAAAATTAGATCATTCTATGAATGACCTTTTGAGAAGAATTATTTTATTTACATGATAGAAGTGTTGATAGAGTACTTAAATATCTTATGACTTAAGTACTCTTTCCTATATTCATGAATGTTTATCAACATAATATTTTCTTTCTATTTTGATTTGCTTAGGATTATTCTAAAAGCATAAAATGATGGTGAAATAACAAATAATTAATGTGTGACTAAAGATTTTAAAACTATCACTAACACCCATATCCAAAGCTTTTGGTGTATTTTAAATTCGTTTTCTTTTTTTTGGCTTTTAAATTAATTTTGATTATTTTTAAAATAAAATATTAATCATTAATAGATATATTAACTACAAAAGATGTGCATACATCCAATCAAATACATACATCACAAAAACATATAAATTTAGAAGAGAATCTAGTAATATAAGGAACCTTCACATAAACTTTCTTATTGCCCCTCCCATTATACGTGCCAATATTGATTGATTAATAATTAGATTGCTCTGAAAAAAAAATATTATCTATTATAATAAAATAGTAAGGGTGACAAATTGATTTTTTATCATTTTGTGAAGGTTGATAAAAAAGTGAATGTAAAGTTATTCGATCATGAATAAACGAGCTTTCTTGAGTACTAGTAATCTCTAAAGAAAGAGCAACATTAGATATTTCTTATAGATACAAAGCTTAACAAAAATCATATATCTATTCAAAATCACAATACTACTCATAAAGTGACGTATTGGTAAAAAAGGGAATATTAAAGAAATTTAGGAGTTTATTTGTAAAACATTGTAATACCATATTTAAGCCAATGTTATGAAGGTATAAAGTATTTATGGGAAATTCTTTTTCCTTGGTATCAGAGTGCTAACCCTAATAGCTGTCTCAGTCGTCTTTAGTGATGTTCGATCATTAGGATCAGTGTGTAGAGACCCAGAACTCTGATTTTGTCTTTCCTTCCATTTCATTCTCGTGTTACAGTCAAGCTAATTGGAAAGTAAACTACTGGTTCGCGAGATCACATGGCGTTACAAACGCGATTAGAGCTAACTGGGATGACAACCCTCGTGATACAGTCACACTAACTAGAAAGGCCTAAGATCGTGATTCCTATTCAGAACCAGTGAGAAAGAAGATCATGACATAGGATTGCAGTGACAATCGCTGCATGGGATCACGAATTCTAGAGATCACGACGTGATCACAACGTACAAATCATGAATTCTAGAGATAATAATGTGATCACAACATATAGATCGCGATTTCTAGAGATCATGACGTGATCATATCGTACAGGGGTCAAATTTGTGTGTGATTTAGACTTGTATTCTTGTGTTCGAGAATGTCTGGAGACGAAAATAATGTGGGAGGTAAGAGATTGGAGCTTATGAGAAAGCTAGATCCTAAATTTCTGAAGGTATTGATCGGGCTAATATAGGGAGCTAGCGTCTCGAAAATAGCCACTACCTCAGTACGTTCTTCAACATATGTGAAGCTAGATCTCTCTTCTGTGGATCTAATGCTTGATGGATTGTTCACATATTTGAGTTGATTGCATTGAGTCCAAGCTACTTTAATATGGAAGAGACTAGAGGAATATCTGACCGAGGGTGGACCAAAGAGTGACAGTGCTGAGTAGGATAATGATACAACCACACACGCCTTAATCTACACATGACTACTCAATCCGATGGTTCCATCTTGCTTTCTCAGTAGATAGCATTCAAAAAGTGAGAGATATCTAGCAAAGCTGAAGATAATTTATGTTGGAGAAGCACATGATGGTGTTTCAGATTCAGTGTGAGATAAAAACAGTAAAACAAGATGATAGATCGATTGAAGAATACACCATAGATATTGAGCGGATGTAGGCTAATCTTGATCACATCTCACTAATGTTGAGTTGTGATGATCTGGAATGCAAGAAAGAGATCTTTAAACAGATAAGGACTATGTAGCTCTTGGCCTATTTGAACCAGACCTTTGATCAAATGATTTCAGTTGTCCTAGCTCAAGTGACTATCCCTATATTGGAAGAGGCCATTGCTTCAACGACGACAATCTTGTATACATAATGAAAGTAAGAAATCTTATTAGAGTAAGATGGAATCCAAAGATCTAGAGGATGAACTAACTTAATTAATTGTGATATTGTCAACCCAGAGGTACTAGTGATTAACAAAAGAGGCCTTAAGCAGGAAACACTAAAAGAAGCATCCAAAGTAGAAATTGGATGGGCACTACATTTGAAATGGCAGGAAGTAAATGTGAATTTGAATGGTGCAAGAAACAAGAGTTGTTATGTTGTCATTCTTTAGGAATTATACTAAAACTCTCATGAACTCAACTATGGATTTTATCATAACAATCCAAGATAATGATGATGCTAACACTGAAGGGTTGTGTGTTATATATATATATATATATATATATATATATTCTATGTATGTATATATATTCTATGTATGTATGCATGCATGTATATGTATGTATATGTATATATGATGTGTATGTATTTATATATGTTAGTGGTGGAACTAAGATTTAAAGAAATAGGTAATGGCACAAAAAATATACTAAAATGAAGTGAAATTAGAAATTTATTTTTTGATCTAACAAAACTACACAAAATAATAAATGAATTAAGTTTGTAAACAAGAATAACCTATAATGCAAAAAAATACTTAAATTAATATAGTAATTATAATAATATATTTTAAATTATGTTCAATGCTTCTTCATCGTATTAAAATCATCAAAAATTGATTCTACCTCTAGCCTCATAATAATATCATTTTTTATAAATGTTATTAATAAATTAGCAAGAAAATTAACTTCCATTTTATTCTACAATCTAGTGTTAGCTATCTACACCATTGAAAATAAATGATTGGTTGTTATAATCAAAATAACTAGATTTAAGAACTGAATCAATCAATCAAAAGAAGAATAAATGATAGGTCTCATCATATTCGCTAACACCTTATATGTACCAAATATTGTGGAGAGATTCTAAAAACATCAATTTCAAAATGCTCCAATTAAATTCCCAGTTATAATTTTTTTTTAATATGCAAAATCTTCTTGATAAAACTTATTTTTATTGTGACAAGTAACCTTACTTTTGAATGAACTAATTTCATCTCTAGGCTCAAAGACTATACTAAGAGTTAACAACTTTACAACACATCTTTAGACTTGTTTTTCATTTTTTGCAACTATGTCTCTATAGTGGTTACAAAAATATCAACTCTAAGAGATGATGCATTATAACAGTGTCATTTCCATGAAATTATAATGAAATTATAGATACTTCTTATGCCTTGTCACTTGGTTTTTATTCTACCCGGCTGTTATTTCTTGAAAAAGAAAATTAAAGTGTCATGTATTATCTCTTATATTAATGAATTATGAAATACAATGTAATCAATCATTCATCCCATATTCTTCTAATTTTGATTGCAGCATGACGAAAACCCTTGAGAGGTACCAAAAATGCAGCTATAATGCAACTGAGTCCACGGTTCCATCAAAGGATACACAGGTGCCTACCACTTGTATTTTTATTATTTGCTTACTTCCAAACTATAATTTCTTTCACCTCGTCTCAAAATGCTACCAAGCCGACTAAGACAGCAGTTAAAATTGTTTATTTCAAGCAAATTCATATTAACCCAATCAGGCATTTCAAAATTTTTAAATGGCTTTAAATTGACACCAAAGAGTACTTTTATTGAAGATTTACATGTACATCGGTCAAATCATATGTATTTTCATATATAACACCTAATTTTGCTTTTTTACATGCACAAACTCTTAACTGTCCACGAAGAAATGTATTTCACTCTCTAAAAATTAAAAGAAAATTTATATACCTAGCACACAATTATTATGTTTCACATATCTCGCACATAGACTTTCTTATTTACACACATAGCATTATGGTGCATTAAATTTATGCATGAAAATATTTATTTAACATTTTATAAAAATTGATAATAATGATATTTTTGACGTACCATTAAAAATTTGAATGCCATATATGTAAATATAAAAGTATAAGTTCGAGATATGTAAATGTATGAGAATTTGTGCTACACATGTAAATGCCTCCAAATTAAAAATGCGCCATTTTTTATGTTATATAAATGTCAAAATAAGAAATTCTGCGGTTAGTTGTATAAATCATATGAATTGAATGGTCTATATGTAAAGTTTAAACTCTAGGCCTTAAAGTGTACCTACTTCACAGCTCAGCGCATTTTTGACTCGTCTTCCCATTCTCTCTCCCGCCTTGGTTTACGAACATTCGCCATTGGGATCGTGCATCTCGATCGCCCTCTTGCTTGCTTTCGCCGGCTCTCAACTGATGAGTTGCCGTCAGTTTAGCCCTTATTAGCCTTCCTCATATCGTCACTGATCCCTAGTTTGGGTCCTTGTTCCTCCCACGAACCCTTGCGGTCACAGCCCTTGTTGGTCTTCTTCGGAGTCTCCTATCCCTTTCCTACATTCTAGTTGGTGCCGGCGTCCTTCCTGGCCCGTCGATCTCCGCCATGCTGGGTTCAGGGTTGCTCTCTTTCTCCTCAATGGCAAATGTACAGGTCGTTGGGTCTGTGATTAAGCCATGTAAGGCTTTTTCGGAGGATGACTTTTTGATTCTTAGGTTTGTGATATTCTCTTCTAGTTAAGTCATAAATTGGTGCAATTGATGTGGGTTTGCTGCTTGCATCCTCTTCTCTAGCAGCAGCACCTAAATGCTCCGTATTTTTTTAGGATATTTATCCTTTCCTGTTAATATATCATGAGGGATTTCCTGCATTGATCATTTTCTGTTACTGAACTATCAGATTTAATTGCTTCATGTCATCTTTTGCAAGTTGTTTAATTTATGGGTGGTAGGCCCTCTTTATTTTCCATCAGATAATTCTTATCAACTCACGGTTCAAGCGCTCCATTTTTTATTTCATCGTTAAACGCGAAAAACATCCTTCTTAAGTTGGATATAATTGAAACCTACATAGCTATGTTTTTGCATGAGATGAAATAGGTGATTTCATGATTATGACTTGTTTAATGTTATTTATTTATTTATTATTTTTCTATTTTTTTTTTATTTGCATCAGTTTGGATTTCATTTACATTAAAACTCATTTTCAAATCCAATATATATATATATATATATATTCTGGCTTCTGTGTTTTGTAAACCATTTTTAGATTAATGCCTATACAGCTTTATGCTGTAGGCCATCAATTGCTAGGTTGCTTGTTGAGGTTGATATTATTTAACAAATTATAGATTCTAGTTGGATTGCTTCTTAAAGGTGTGGTTATAAGCGAAGGATTGTGATGGAAAGGACTCTTAGATTATCACTGCTAGTTGTTTAGGTATGATGGCCATCAATTGCTAGGTTGCTTATTGATGTTGATATTATTCAACATTATAGATTCTATTTGGACTGGTTCTTAAAGATGTGGTTATAAGCCAAGGATTGTGATGGAAAAGACTCTTGGATTATTGCTGCTAGTTGTTTAGTTATGATTTGTCTATTTGTTAAAGAATTAAAGGTCTATGTTGGCATTCTAACTATAACAATATCTAATCCTACACACTAACTGGTTCCAACAAATACGGTAGCATCAATCTTCTATTTCTTTTTATCGCATGGTAATTCTTTAGTTGTTGAGTACTAGTTTGTTGATCAACAAGGTGAACAAAAATATTCTTCTTGTTCAGGAGATTTTTAATCCATTGGCTGGTTAAATTAGAATGGAGCATGTCAGTCCAATTACAATAGACTTAGCTTATTACAAAGAGCGGTGGAGTCAACTTTTATCACTCAATTCCAAAATATCTTGCTCACTTTAAGGAAAATGTTTCTTTTCTCCCATTGAATAATATTCTCTTACATATTGAGATCATCACACCATGGCTCAACCATATTTTCATTTTATATTTAATAGTATCATATCAGAAGATGATTTTACGATACATAATTTAGGCTATTTCGAACCCATTCAAATTATAGTAGAGCAAACAAAAAGAAAATTTATAGGATGTCTCCTCACTTCATATGAGGTTTAGGTAGATATTTTAAGATTTGTCGCTTATCTAAATGGAAACCTATCAAAGATAGTGTCTTAGTTATGGCGTTCATTTATATTTTTTTTAAATCTTGCTAGGTTTGATTTATGTTTGGCTTATTTCTGTTGAGATTAAGGTTGTCAGTTTGTTGAACTACACATAGTTTTGCAGAAGTAAACCCCTCTCCTAATGTTAAGAAAATCAACCCTTTTATTATTTTTATCTTTTAAATGAATTTTTTTCTTAAAAAAAAATCTCCAACTTAACAACTATTGGCTTTAATTTTACTTCTTCATTTCAATGCAGAATAGTTATCAAGAGTATTTGAAGTTGAAAACAAAGGTGGAATATCTACAACGGTCCCAAAGGTAAAATAACTTGAAAAATGTAATTTCTATGTAATTTTAGATTAAATGATGAGTTTTTTTTGCATATATTTAATATTTTAAAATGCGACATTCATGCCTCTACAGGAATCTTCTGGGAGAGGACTTGATTGAGCTAGGCAGCAAGGAGCTAGAGCAACTTGAGCTTCAACTAGAAATGTCTCTAAAACAGATCAGGTCAACAAAGGTTGTAAATCACTCTAGAAAAAAATTTTTTGGTAGGCCAAATTGGAATTAACAAAACTGACAACATCTAGATGTGACCCAGAGGACCCACCTAGAAAATTCGTACATGGTTTTGCACTCATTAGATATATTTAATTTGAAAAATTATGAGCCATTTGTATGTTAAAAATGAATAGGAATAAGCCGAATAGCTCCCATATACATTTTTGATTTGTCATGGATTTGCCAAAATTCACACAAAAATATATCTTTGGCCTTTCTCAATTATTATTTTCGCTCTTTACATTATAATAATGGTAATTTATGTTGGACAAAAGCTTTAATCAATTCAAATGCCAATGCGCTCGAATGCACAACTTATGGGTCGAAAACAAAGTGAATAATTCTAATAAGGATTTGAGCACTCATTTTGCCTTGAAAAAATCAGATGTCAATATGACATTTGTATATTTTAGTCTCATTTGATGGTGAAACTTGTAGCTATGCTTGTCTTCAATAAAAAATCGATGCTATAAAGTGATCCTTATTCTTTTTTTTTGCTGTCATTATCTCTATGTTGCTATCAAATTTTTTGTTTAACTTAATTTTTGCACTACTCTGGACATTAGTATAACTATGATAAATATAGCAATTTAGAATTTCAGCTTGACTCAAGACAAATTTCTGATTTTCATTGTTATGAAAAACCAAGCTTATTATGAAGATCTGAGAGCCCCAGGATACTCAAGGATGGTCCTCAAAGCACTTCTCAAAGGATTAGTTCTCCACACGAATATAAATATATAACTCATTGACCTATGCATAAAGCATTTGACGTCTAAGAATCATTTTGCTCTAGCCAAGCCAACTAAAGTCTTGAAATTTCTGAAAAGAGACCTCTAGGTTTCTTATTGTGAGCAAAATTGGAAGAGTCGAAGTTCTATCACAAGTAGTGATCTAGGATTGAGCCGGCTATAAAGGATAAACTTATTAAGTTGAAAAATAATTACTATAAAACTCAAATCTTTCATAAAAAACTTTTATTCTTTTGATTTTGACGTTCTAAATGCTATGTTATTACTTTTTCATGTTGGATTAAAATACACCAGTCCTTTTAAAAATGCATTGCTAAATACTTGAAATTCTTCAATATCACTTGGAATTATCAATATAAATTTTCAATTTCTGAACTTCGCTCAAATGACACAATTTTTTGTACCAATCTTGTCAAAAAAAAATTATAATTTGTGAGAAGCCTTTAAAAAATTTTCCCTGATAAAATACTAGATCACGAAGACTACACACTTTTGATACACTTTTTGGTTTTCATCATTCAATAATAGCTTGTACCTTTTTGCGGGTTTATAATTATCCCATTTTCACTCACTATACAGCCCTAAAATATTAGACTTCATAATTAGACTTATATTTAAAAAATGCTACGTATAACTTTGGTTTAATTTCTCTTGTAATAGTCTTAATATGCTATTAATGAAAACAATCATAAATTAATCTAAGTATGGATCAAATGTTTGATAAATTGAATTCATAAATATTACAAACGCATTGGTCATATTAAAAAATATTACTAAAAAATTTATAATAAGCATAGTATATACTAAATGCTATCTTTGCCGCATCCTCTTTTGTCACCCTCGACTGATGATTCCATAATGTTAAATCTATTTTGAAGTGCACAAATGCACCATTCAATCTATTAAATAAAATTATAAATTCTATGGGTATTTATTTTAAATGCCCACATTATTCAAGTCTATAATCACTGCATATCTACATCATATCTAACTTCTTCAAAATAATGTTATTGCACTCCATAGAGGTATATCAAGTTTGATAAAACCCTTATAAACCTTTTATAAGTGGCCTTTCAATTCTAAAAATTCTGTTGAAGACGCCTTATAAGAACTTCTAGTGATAAAAGTTATATCAAATGGCACTTCAATACAAAATCTTACATCTCATCCGGTTGTAAATTCATTAATCCTTCAAGAAACGCATTAAAAGTTTGTTTACCATAGAAACCTTATATAAGGTTAGTAAAGATTTATCCTTATTCATCACATGTGCATGATATGCAGTATTTCATTTCTTTCATAATTTATTGATTTGTAGTACTAATTTTATTGATGATAACACTTCTTTAATACTGTAAATATAAATCTCTTCACTATGCAAATACAAGTTTACTCATTTTGAACAACTATCTATATAGGCATATTATTTAATAGTCAATCAATTCCTAAAATAACATCAAATTATTTTAAAAGTAATATTATGAGTTAAGACCCTCATCTCTTAGTAGAAATTTAAATTTACTGCACATACTTGCATATCTGGCTATTAAATAATTTTTAATACTGATATAACAGATAGACTTATTTACATTATAATGAAAGGTAAATCTAAGCAAAAAAAAAAAACAGCTATAAATGAATAATTGGCACCAAAAATCAAAGAAAATTTATGCATGATTGATTTGAAAGGTTCATAAAACATCAACAAAATCAAGTTAAAAAATGAAAAAAAATTGTCATCATGCTCACTAAAACAAAATTTTAGTAAAATAAAGATTTTTGAAATTTTGTGTTGTTGATAGTATTCCTCATTTAAAGTAATCATTTGTCAAATGAAGTGTGCCATCATGACATTCGCTTAACATATTCATGAAAGCATAATAATCCCCAATGGCATGCCCTAGGCAATGGTGAAATGACAAAACTAAGGGCATTCGATTTAACTAGCCTTTTATGGCCTTCTGATAATTAAGGAGCTCAATCAAATCTCTTTTCATAAAACCATTGAAGAGTTTACAATCCCCATCATGTTTGAAAGAGTACTCTACTATGTTATTTGAAGGTGGGTGTGATTGTAAGAATCTCTGCATTTATGAGGTGTCATCACATGACCAGGTTAGTCCTCAAATTCAATATACTGGTGATTTACCTTGAACTAGTTCATTTCAGATCCACCTCAAGCCCTAGCCTAATTCCATGACCAAAGTTCAAATTTGCTCGATCGAATTAAAAAGTTTCCACCCATCAACCGAGTAAATTATATATGTTCATTTAAAAATATATTCATAAGTGTATATAAATAGCTACATCTATTGCAAATCATCGCTGCCATAAATACATTTATAGCGAAGTCTTTCTACATATCTTATCACATAATTGGCAATATCGGCATTAGATTCTTCCCTTACAAACTCGTGAAACAGACCATAACACGGCCATTCCCATCAATTTAATCCCTGGCATGTTCTTCGGGATATCAGATAAACCCGCAGGAGGAAACATAAGGAAGGGGAAGATAACAAAAAAGGAGAGTGGGGCAGAAGGAAATCCCTTAAAGCTAGGAGAAATAGCAGCGCAACAAGTAAATCAATCAATGTTAGAAGAGGAAGAAGAGCAAGAGTTTCCTTCTCTTTCCCACCTGGACTCTTTTCTATATATAGTCTTCTTTTCATGCCTACATTGGAGGCATCTCAAGAAGAGTTACTGGCTTTATGAAGACACGATAAATGGAGGGGTGCATGCGGAGAAAGACAGCAAAGACAGTCCATGCAGGTTGTGTTCAATTATTTTTTAATATTTTTAATCTAACTTTTTAGTTTACGTAAGCGCACGCTGTTGCCTAGCACTCAAAATAGATCAAATCTGGTCTCAGTTGCAGAAGAAATTTCAAAATGAATAAAAAAGAGAGATCAATAAATATCAGTCAGTTTTGTAGTCTCAGTGGGTGTTTTAGTGTTTATTTATCATAATTGCTTGTGCGGTCCCAAAATTTTTCTTAATATTAGTTATATTGCTATTTTCTGCACTTTGAAAGATGTAATTTGCATACTTCTGCTGTGACAAGACCGAATGGACCTGTGCAAAACATGAGATAGCAATACTATATTTATTGACTTTTATTTTCTTTTTGATAAAATCTATTTTTAGCATTGAATTATTATAACAGATAATAGCTAAATATGGCATAGACTTTTAGATTGATGCAATCTTGGCGAAAAATTGATTGCTTCTTTTGTTCACAGCAGAACATAGAATTACTTTCTTTTTTCTAATAGTAATAATAATATTTTTCTTAACTTGATAATTTCCATTTGAATATTTCAGACTCAATTGATGCTCGATCAGCTCTGTGATCTCAAAAGAAAGGTCAGTTTTTTAGATGTATTTTCAGTATAATCTTTGTGTCCTACTGTATATGAACCTCAGATTCAATTTTTAACCGAGACTTCCATTACTTAGTCTCAAAATCATTAATAATCTACTGCACGCAGATCTCAGTGCATTTACTTCGATCATGTTATTTTTAGTAGATTTTCTTGCTATATTAATCTTGAATTATGGAGGTCAACTTCAGAGTCTAAAGGCTTTTGTTTGAGTCAATCTAAAGCTGAATATGTGGAATGTAATTTTAGTTGTAGTAGCTCAAGTGGATGGGTTGTAACAATGAGTGATCAAGTCATTAAAAGGAGTTAACAATGAGATATCTTGGGGATGTTATTAGTAGAATTCAAGTTGGATGGCTGAAGTGGAGGAATATATTGGGCCTATTGTGTGATAGAAAAGTGCCGCTTAGACACAAAAGGAAAATTTTATAAGATGGTTGCGAGACTTGTGATGCTTTATGGTACAAAATGTTGGCATTTAAAAGAGAAGTATAAACTTAAGTGTTATTGAGATGAGAATGCTCAGGTGGATAAGTGGATTTACACTTAGAGACAAAATACAAAACGAATATATCTGTGAAAGGGTTGGAGTAGCTCTAATTGCAGATAAGATTAGAGAGCCGCCTTAGATGATTTGGTCACATTAAATGTCGACCATCTGATGTCCCAGTCAGGAGAGTAGATGTTTTAGATTTGCCTTATGTTAAGAAAGGTAAAGGTAAACCTAAAAAGTCTTGGGCATGTTGTATACAAATTATCTTAATTTATTAGAGTTAAATGAAAATATGAAACACAATAGGACACAAAGGAAAAAAAGGACTCCTATAGCTGCCATATTAGTGGGATAAAGACTTGTTTTTGTTGTTGGACTTCTTGCTATATTAAGCGTTCAACTCTTTAGAAAAAGCCTCAATTAATAATGTATATTTTGACCGATGCAGGAGCAAATGTTGCAAGAAGCTAACAGAGCTTTAAGAAGGAAGGTAATGTAATTGCTTCATTTTTGTTTACTTGATGTATTTTCTTAATGTATTTTTCGTCCAATAGTTATAAATAGATCTCATACTATTGCTATTGCACAAATTCTAATTTGTACAAAATAGTTAAGTCAATAACCTTTGCCTAAGTTTGCGTTGTGGATGAACTCTGAAATTTCTTCTGAGGGAGGTTTAGGAATTTAAATGAATACTTTTGAAGCAAATTACAGTAATATATTAGAGATGTGCGGTTGAAACTGTAAATACTAATGAAATACTACATTTACAGAGAACATTTAATATTGTAAGTTATGTTCAGATTATATAGTGTCAGATTGTTTTTTGAGTCCAATAAATAGAGAGAAAGTGAACTATTTTGATTCCAGCTCTTGTAAAATATCTATGGGAAGGTCTCATATTTAAAAGCAATGATGAATACATAGACTAAAAAGTAATATACAAAGAAATATATCAAAAAATTAGGAGAGAAGATTTATGTGAATCGGCGAAGTATGTCTATGTTCATGGATACGTAAAGTGGTGTTTATTTCAGTAGATTGAAGATAAATATAAGATAAGAATAGTTATTCACGCAAAAAATTTTCTTACTCTCTCTCTTATTTTCACTTGTAATATGTCTTTTGAGATATTCTTGATCTTTGAGATATTTCACATAAAATTTCAATCTCCATCACAGCTCATATGTCATCCATATCTTTCATTTCAAAGTTCTTTGAGAAAAAAAAAATTTGGTCCCATATAATAAACCAAAATCATTAGTTGCAAGCTCTACCATCAAAATACATAATAATAAATATAAATTTATTCGCATACATGGTTTTTTTTAACGGCAAAAAAAAAATGATAATATTATTTCAATATTTCAATTTTTTATATTTTAAATCATGCTATATTCCAATATTATGATGCAAGGTTAATATAGTCGGCAAATAAATTGTTGAGCTTTAATTTATATAACAATCACAAACAACACCAGAACCAATAAGATGATTATGCTTAAATTAACCGAAATATTCATTTCCAAACTTAAAAATATCATGTGCATATAAAGCAACTAAATTTCTAGAAACAGAAGAAACATAAATAATTTGAAAAAAATCTAAGTGATATCATGTATCCAAAGTCAAACGATATATTCTAATGGCTTAAATTGGAGCTTTGATTTGATTTTCACAAACTTTTCATTTAGGCTTTATGGTTTGGGTCATTAGAGTTTTTTGCATCATATTTGAAATATGAGTGATATAACTAGAATCAATCCATCAATTATTATAAAAATTTTCAGCTAAATTATATTTGCAACATACAAAAGCACTAGGCTTTACTTTTTCTTCGAACGAAGCTTTATGTTTTTGGCAATTTTTTTGATAGTATATGTTTGTGATAGATAGAAATAACATCTATTATCTTATCTTTTTTTTTTTTTTAAGATTTGGATTGATGATACATTAGCCTTTAAGTGTTATTTAATGTGTTTCGCTTACTTTTTTTTTTCTTGTTTCATTTTTGCTTCAGGGTGACCCATATGATTTATTGAGTGAATTTCTTATTTTCTAAGTCTTATTTTCCTCTAAACAAGCCTATTTTTTAATGCAGTCGCATTAAATCTATTCTTTATCATATTGCAGTTTATTTGGAATATATATCATATTCAGGAGACAAGGACTTGATGATAATATGTACAATGATATTTTTGCTCACATTTATTCCCATGATATTTATTCTTGCTACAATATGCATCGTTTCAATATGCTTAGGCATAACATGTGAACCCTCAAACTTAGTGGTCGATGTACTAATTAGTGTCCCAATAAGTGACTTGTTGACAGACTCCGATTGTGACAAACCTTTCTCAAATTCATAAATTTCTTAGCATTGTCAATTTTTAGAATTGTTAGTTTAATGATGTTAGTTACAACGATTCTCATAAACATTAAGCTAAATTTGTCCTAATCATTATAGAAAGAGTAATGTTCAGAGAAGCTAGTATTGGTAATACAACAGGCTTATCAACAAGTAATTCAAAACCAATATCCAAATATAAGCACATTGAATTTGTTCTCTCCATTCAATAAAATTAAGCACATTGAACTTCATAATAGATGAAACTTGCAGATGATGAGCAATAATAGTTAGATGCTGTAAAATAAATATAGAACACTCGTACCTGAATATGTTGAATTATAAATTTAAACACACAATATAGATTAAGATGGCATATATATATATATATATATATATATATATATATATATATATATATGTTGGCACTATAAATCTTCAGGGTTAAATCATTATTCCAAAATAATAGATTTATATAATAATCATACTATTTCCAAATAGACTTTGTAGCAAATCCATAAATTATTATTATGTACTAAATTTGATTTCGCCTTTGACCAGCATAATTGTTCTTATTAAAAAAGACACAAATAAATGTTAAAAAATTATAGAAATGATAATGAAAATATGAAGCCATAACATTTTTTGGAATATCATTAGTTTTTCAAATCAGTTGCTGATACCACATGTAAGAAATTCTCACATTCATAATTTTTTTTTTTTGAATATGTAAGTCAAAATAATAGCATCAACACGTAAACCTAAGAAATTGAAAAAGATACTTTTTATGAAATTTTAATCATAAAATAAACATATATTGATTTAGATGATATTTTTTGAGAGTTTGTGAAAACTATAATTTTCTCTTTCTTTTCTTTATTTTTTCACGATGTTTTTCTTAATGGAGAGAATATAGCTAGTTAAGTCGTTTGATATTTGATTGAACAGTCTGTAAATGTTTTATAAAATAACTTTCTTTTTACTAGTAAACTTTGACTCATCATTAATTATTAAATTATGACTTGTAAATCGGTGATTAATAAATAAACTTTAAATATTATTAATTTAATAATAATATAACATTATGTATGTTATTTAAAAATAAGTAACATAAATAACATTTCTGAAGTTATTTGCTAAGAGTTCTAGCAGGATTCTTAGGAATTTGTAAAAGGCATACGTGCCAAAAACACATGCTTTAACCTATCCATCAAAACTGATACAACATCATCTCAACATCCCACATCCCAACAATACATTCTAACATTCTGAATTACATAATTCAATCCAAACCCTAAAATTTACAAAAATGGTATTCTGGACTGAAGCCAACAAGTTCAGTTTTCAACAAAAACTACCTAAAAACAACTGATACTAAATTTTCTAAATAAGAGAAAATTGGGCTCCCATCAGCAGGACCACTAAGTCAAAATCATGCCAGCACAACTTTTATGGCTTAGTTCTTTGAAATCCAGATCTTCTCAGTCCATCTAATTGTGGGCAGTTGCAAGAAGATGAGCCAGAAATCCCCCTGGAGCTGTCCTGGACCGGTGGCGGTGGCAATGGGCCATGTGAGCGTCAGCAGCCTCAGTCCGAAGATTTCTTCCAGCCCTTGCCTTCTTTGCAAATTGGGTAATTCATCTTCTTAAATCCACTGAATTTTCTCTTCAATCTTCGCGAACATGACTAAAATTTTTAGGTGAAGTTACATGCATACCACCTAATTTTTATATATCATATATCTAACACCTAAAGTTTGATATTTACATTTATAACACTTTGGTATTATAAATTTATGTATGAAAATGTGTACTTCACTTCTAAAAAGTTAATAATAACAATATTTTTGATGTGATGTTAAATATTTGAGTGGTATGCATGTAAATATATAAGAACCGTGTGGTATGTATGTAAATGCCCCAGTTTTTTATTTGATCGCCCTCAAAAATTGAGAATTTATATTGTGATGAGTGTAATATAATTTTTAATTAATATTTTATATATCATAATAAATTCAAATTAATTATTATTTTTTTACTATTTTCAGTGGTAGTCCTTTCTTCTTTGCCTTTTTCCATTATAATAATATCTAAGAATTGCTTGCTTTTCTCATATTTGTTTCAGGTTTAGTCCAATCTGTATAGATCAACAGTTGAACACAGAACTCAGGATCATCATCCGCACATAATATTAATGGCTTCATTTCGGGTTGGATGTGATGATTTATTAATGGTATGCTTGCAACTTCACTTCTTACTTATTTATAATCTATGCAGACTTCTTTTTTGCTTAGTTTGTCACACACATATATACATACATATATATAGATATATATAGATATATATATGAAATTCTAACTTGGAAAAAATAAGTGAAGGAAATTATGAATAAGGAACAATAAGCTGGTTTAGTCAATGTATTGAAAAGGTGTATTTACAATATGGGATACCTCTACAATTCCATTTTTATAGATATTTTTTAGGGAAATTTACATATGGCATAATTCTTATGTTTTTACATATCTAACAGCCAAAGTTTGCTATTTACACTTATAACAACTTGGCAACATAAACGGATGCATGAAAAGGTTTATTTCAATTTTAAAAAGAAAGTGAGGTGGTATTTCTGATGTGATGTTAAAGATTTTTGAGTGATATGCATGTAAATACAAAATTTTCAGTGTTAGATATGTTGTATAAGAATTGTGTGGCATTTATGTAAATGCCCTTGTTGTTTATTGTGACTCGATCTTAGAGATGTTTATTACTGATAATAAGCCGCAAATTTTAGATAAAATTAGAAAGAATTTTCATCAAATCCAATGTATGCAATTCTAATTTGTTTCACTTAATCATTCAAAAATAAATGTGCTAGTAGAAGATACTAACAAATGAATTTTTAAATCTTTTATATGAAAAAATAAAAATTAAATTGCCAAAACCGAATAAGCATCGTCTTTCCATTACTTTGATCTCTGAAAACTACATCAGTAATTAGGCATCTTGGGTTAACATTCCAAGGAATGTTCTTCTTATGTAAGTAATTGATAAAACAATGTATTCTAGTAAATGAATTTGGCATAATTTGTGTTGAAATTACTCCATAAAAAGTTCTATTATGTTGCCTATCTCTTATCATGGTGAAGTCATAATCCAAATTAAAGCCAATCCTGATACTAACATAGTCTGTCATCTTTGATGATGTTGTATAACTCACCAACTTTGAAATCTTGAGTCATGAACAATAAAATCATAAACGTAAAGCTTTATAGAAATCCAACTCTCAAGTCATTAATTTAGGCGATTGTGACCTACTTGAACCTCCTGAAGCCCTTATCTATCATTGTGCCCCCTACTAAGGTTGAGAAGGTTAAGAGAGAGCCTTATAGCAGAGATAGAAGCAAGGAAGCATTAACAAAAAAATTTAAAAATGGATAGAAAATTTCATCACTAGAAACATTCCCCACCTTTGAGTTGTTGAAGTATGAACTTGTTCTCATAAAGCCAAGTTGATTTTTAAATTCATCTCTCCATGTCAGCTTGATTTTGAAATGTAGTTAAGGCAGATTTTATTGAATTTACTTCTCTTATTTGTTCTTCAATCTTCTTTATCAAAAGAATGACTTTAGCCAACTCCCTTGCCTAGTTTGGTCTGGAGCTATAAGCATTTGTTTGAATTTTCAAGAAGAGCTGATATGAGATTTTTCTCCTTCTATGCAGCATACTTGGTAGTCTTTTTTTTTATTCCATTAAAATCTTTAATAAGCTGGAGGGTAATAAAAGCCATCTCAACAAATGATTTCAATATTTCGTTTCTAAAGTTTTGGTGAAGTAACATCTCCGGTAAGTCTTAGTGTATATTTGAGATAACTTTTTGTCTATTTTGCATATGAGACTACACGTATCACAGTTCTGTTTGGAGAACTATTTTTTTGCTGCTTTCTGGAAATTTTTTGTGACGAGAAGTTATTTTTTCAACTTAATCTATCAAAGTAAAGAATGGTGGCTGAAAGAAAGCCGTCGTGTGGTTTTTTTTTTTTTTTTTTTTTTTTTTTAATTATTATTCCCAACCGTAGCTTTCTAGGAAGTTGTTTTATCTACTAGAGCTTTACAACAATCTTTTTAGAAGGTTGCAACCATTCCAAAATTTACCCTTAATCTCGGCTCATGGAGAAAGGATTTTAAAAAAGGAAAATGTTACCATTTTAAATTAAGACATTGGTTGCTCAAAAGGCTGTAATAAAAAAATAACCAAAATAAACTTTTGCATTGTACTTGAATGAAGTTAATGTCAAACTGAATCTTGCACCAATATTGGTCTGATCTTCACATAAAAGTTCACTCACTGAATAAATATAACATCATTGTGTAAGTTTAACGAAAAAATACTGCACTCAACATATTTGTTAATAAGAGATGAAGTGTACCTACCTTCAACAGTGATCTTTTCACCAACAGATTTCAAGAGTCGTTAGGGCGCTAGTGGAATAATTGAAGCCATGAGAGCCAACTTATTCTAGCCGAAGAGTTGACTAGGATAACTCATAGGTGTGGTGTCATGAAAGAGGCTGAAGTTGTCATTGGGAAGGATCTTGTTGGAATCATTGAAGTTGTGTGGTCTTAAGCATCTTTGATGTAGAGGTTATATTCTCTTTACTGAGTTAGCTCTCACTAATATGGCTATTTTGTTACGAAGAGCATGTGACACTCCAAATTCTATAAGTTTGAGTTCATGTAGTGTTTGTCAGAGTAACGGGATGGTGGTAGAAAGCAATCAGATTCATGGTGTCATCTTAACAACCAATCTTAAGATGTGGAAAAAAATTATTTGCCCTAAATTATTGGGTTGTCTTCTACAATACGCTTGGGTTAGATGAATGGGACAATGATTAGAATTATAACTTACTCATGTGTAGCCTAATGAAGTCTCTTACCTAATTCTTAGGTGTCTTTTTTAAGCAAGGAACAAAGGTTGTGGAATTGAAATGCCCTGAGGCACTTTTATGAATTTAAGCAAATAGGGATTGTCTCAAGAGTTGCTTGGGGGCTTAATCAAAGAGAGGTGTGATTGAGTATGCAAAGACAAAAGCGGGGTGCCCTTTTCCTTCGAGGAAGAGATGTATAAATGCAAAAGCTTAAAATTCAAAAGAGTACATAATTTTTTTATATAAAATTAAGAAATTAATTAGCACTTGAATTTTTATATAAAGCTGGTAAATAAGCTTAAATTTAAATGAGTACTTGATTTTCTATATAAATTTTTAATAGTTAATTTTAAAAATTTAAATAATAAACAATTGAATAAATTTTAAATTAGAATCTATTTAATTTATACTAAATAAATAAAATACTACATACGTTATAAGTAAGCTTTTTGGCAATCAAATAGCATAAATAATATTAACAAATTACTTCAATGAAGTAAGAAATATATATATATATATAATACTTAACGAATTAATTTTTGAATAGCAAACAAACTTATTAATGAACATTAATAAACGAGTTAGATAATGTTTAAATTTGGTTCATTTAATTTTGAATTTTAAAAAGATGTTCAAACCTGTTTATTTACTAATTCAAACAAACATGATCAAGTATTAACAAAGTTGAGTTTGAATTATTCATTAAGTGCGGTGGTTCATTTACATTCTAGTGTTAACTGAACATCCTTATTAAAGTTTAAATGTTGGTAAGAGTATTATGAAAGTTGTTGATATAACTTGTACCTATAGCTTTTACTTTGGTTAATTGAAGTTAACATCGATGACTTGGGGCCTACTTGGGGTAGTTTATAAGTGCGGGGGCGTTTTTGAAAACGTCACGATACCATTTGGATCGTGTTTTGCCCGCTTATCCGGAAAGGCGGTTCCATTTTTACACTAAATGCAAGCCGCGGGTTGAACCTCGTGGTCGGCCCGCGAGTCGCATTTCATAATAAGCCGCTTATCCTGAAGCGCACAAGTTGCTCCAAACGCACCCTTAATTTTACATGACTATAAGATTAGCTCATTGATAGAGAAGGTACAAAAAAAGATGGCATGAATACACATGAGTGTAGGGCTACAAATGAAACGAGCATTTGACAAACTACTCATAACTCGGCTTGATAATAGCTCGTTTATGTTTGTTTGATTAACTACTTGAACAAGTTCAAACACTTTTATTAATTCTTGATTGTTAAATGAACATGCTTGAACACCTATTTATTCGATTCATTTATGTTCATAAACAATATCATTTAAAGCTCGTGAATACGATCGTTAAGAAACTTGATAAACAGTTTCATTTAAAGTCCATAAATATAATCGATATAATGCTAATGAAAAAAATCACTTGAAGCTTATTTTAATCTTTTGAATAAGCTCAATTAAAGTTCAATTTAAAATTGATTTATATTAAATTTAATTAAATTTTAATATATAGTAAATAAAATAAGATAAAGACTTCTTACAAAAAGGTAAAGGGAAGAGAACCATTGATATAAAAAAGTGATGACTTTTGTGGATAAAGGGGGAAGGTTCCATGTTCTCATCTCTTCCATTCATGGGCTCTTTCTTTTTTTTTTCTTACTAAAAAAAAAAAAAAATAGAGGATCTAATTCTATCCCATCATTTGTGGCATTGCCCTTTTATTTCCTTCATTCTTTAAAAAATGTCACATTGACTTGAGAATGTAATTTTTTCATGCCCTTTCAATGTTTTGGCTCCATTCAATAATTAGATTCTTTGCACTTTCATGAATTCAAACTATAAAATATTATACTCTTTGCCAATTTAATTTTATGTTGTGCCTTTCAACTATAAAATATACTTCTTTCTTTTTTGCTAATTGGCACTCATATTTCAAAGATTTATGGATTTTTTTTTTTGGTTGGCTTAAAATTAAAATTTATTACTAGTGTTTATTGGACTAAACTCCTAAACACTTTTCATGGGAATTCTATTATCATGTGAAATATTTCGGGTTGCCTGATAACTGAATCGGCTCACCCATCATCACTTGATGAAAGCATGATAATTGTTTTAGTATCAATCTTTGATAGATGACAAGGATAAGGATAAATTGTGCTTTTTTTCTCTCTCTCTCTCTCTCTCTTAAAGATGGATGCCAAATGGCCAAGAAAGCTTACACCAAAAGTATATGCTTGATAGATGTCAAACATCATTCTATTGTATTCATTGAACAATTATCAATGAGGAATATTAGAGGTTAAGAAATATCTAATGATTTGAATTTTATTGTTCTCCATATAAAAGGGAAGATCAAGCTACAGAGTGAAGGCACACTAAGATGATTATATATATTGAATTCACCAATTTAAATTCTAAAATATTATAAAAATTAAATAAAGATCAATGAATTTAATGGTAAAAACTAAGTATGTGAAAGCAATACATCATATAAGATTATTTAGGTGTATGATTATGTCAGTTATTAAGATATGCTTATGCAATATAACACCCATATCTAATCAAAATAGTTTTATAATATAACACATAAATTGCATTCGATGCTGCCTACTTTGTAGCACAAGGGAGCCACTTTCATCCCCCCAAAAATGCCAATTCGACTATCAGGGTCCAACAAGCAGCAGAACTCTATGCCGCGAGGAAAAAATTTGCGTACGTCAAGGGGTACGCAGAGATGCATACATAATAGAATACACGGGCGTTATATAGAGGTTACATGGAGCTTACAAACATGTTATAACTTCCTTATAACTTTCGTGTAACTCAGTTGTAACCCGCGCTTTTATTTTATCCATTGAGATCCATTGAGATTATGATGTTACATGGGAGTTACACGGGATGTTACATGGGAGTTATATGGGAGGTACAACGGGTTATAACCCCCTTGTAATCCTCGTATAAACCCCGTGTACCCTATTATGTACGTATCTCTACGTACCCCTTGATGTACGCAAATTTTTTCCGTGCCGCGGTTGTTTTTAAACCAGCAAAAGTAGTCTATGTTTCAAAGATATATAACCAAAATAGTTTTATAATATAACACATAAGCCAAGTGAATTAGATAAATTTGTGTGTGTATATATATATATATATATATGTACACACACACATATGATAATATGAATTTTAGAAAATATTTATTTGTAAAATAAATTTCAAGAACTTATTTTCTTGCAGAATAGAGGTTTGTGTAAGATAAATTTCATGAAATAAATAGATAAGACTTGAAACTTTTGAAATATAATTCACAAGAATAATTTCAGCAAAATGCACTCAAGAAGAATGATTTCAACAAATGGTAAAATCAATTTCAGTAATCTGTAACTTTAATTCAGAACTCATACTTTCAACAGAATAGGAAATATATCTTGCAATTTTTGCAAATAAATTTTATGTTCTGCAAAATAAATACAGCAATATGGATATATATATATATTTTTTTTATTTTAATTAGCAATTAGAAAAGTTTGCTTTTCAGTATATTACAACTTTTAATTTCAACAAATGCAAATTGATATCACTGTTTCCACAAAACAACTTCAGTTTTTGAAAATTGGATTTCATGACATGCATATTTCAGATAGTATAGACCTAATTTTTAATATATGCAATTTCATCCAATCTAATTGTTCAGGAAGAAGGAACTGCAGCCAATATAAATTTCAACAATTGTTCAGGAAGAACGAATATAAGTAATATTCAACAAGTAGAGTTGAATTAGTATATTGTGGCCAAGGAAAAAAAAGAATTTAATTAAATACAATAGGCAAAAGGATGAATATGAAATTTTGCACCCATGATATCCTAATAATTGTAAATTTAATTTTATGAGTTAATTATTTTAAAAATTGTGTAGTTTCTGAGACTTTGATAGTGCTTATACTCAATCAATATATTGAATCCAAAAAAAATATCTTATGAACACTAAGACAAAAGCTTGGGTATCCATCTTCATGATATGCCAATGGGAGGATTAATGAAGTTACATTTCTATATCCAACTCCAAGTGAAAAATTACTATGGATAAATGAACCTATAAGAAAACTTAATAAACCATATGACTACACTTCAATGATTTGTTATCATCAAATTAACAAGTGGAATGCAAATTGATGTACACTCAACGTAAGCTATATAATCAAGCTTATGTCCATTATTGATTACTGATAATCATGAAATGTCACAATTGAATGTGTTAGGTGATAGTCCAGAAAAAAAAAAAAAAAAAAACATTGTGGGTTAAGCAATATTGGATGAACATCAGATATTACTCCATGGGCCTTATAGAAAGGATGTTAGAAGATCGGGAAGGCTTGATTCAATCATTTTTCTTATAGGATTGGAGACAAAGGAATCAAGGAGTGTTATACCAATCATTCATAATTAATGAACATCAGAGATAATTCCTTAGTATGCATCAAGCAATGATCATTTGAGAACATTGTGGTTTTGAACAATCATTCTTCATATAAAAGGAGAGACTTAGTGACTAGAAAGGTCTGAATCAAACTTCATTGCCTAAGAAACATGATATGCCATATTTGATATGCATTGAATGATGGTTAACAAAATAAGTTTTAGAGATCGAATGATTTTAATTAGATGTTAAAGAATGTCAGATGGTTTAACTACATCGTTCTCTTTATAAAAGAGAAGATAAAATATTAGGCATCACCCTTTAGTATGCTTTAAGTGATAATCAAGATGAAATATTAGAGTTTGGGTACTGTTGGGTGCTATGATATGATTTTTCTTCTTTTAATATGGGAAACCACGAAGACAAGTATATTTTCATTGGTATTTGTGTATAACAAACTTTAAAAATAAATATATAGTTTGTGTTAGGAAATAATCAACGAGAGTATTGGACGTTGGGTGAATTATGGTAGGCTAACTCAACTATTTTCTTATAGGCTAGAGCATCAAGCAACCATGAAGGCTTATGTTGAATGCTAGAGGATGAAAAAAAAAAATTGTGGCAATATTAATCAACAATTCATGTTTAAGTGCTGGTGGTGAAGGGGATGGCAGCAATCAATGTTGATGTTGACCAACAAAAGGAACTTGATGATGCTGACAGTGTGTTTCGATGTTAATCTCTATGGTGGCGGAGGGCAGAACTTGGAAGCTTTTCATGCCTGGAAATTCTCTCCACTAAGATTCTGCAAGGCTTTTGATATAAAAAGCAAGCAAGTCTTTTCGTACAAAAATTCGTTAAAAAAAAAAGAAACTCAAAATAATTTAAAATTGCAAAAAAAACATTTTTAGAAGGCTTCATTAAGGACCAAAAAATGTTAAAATTGAGTCTATAGTAGCAAAAACTGACCTTGAAATCCCACAAATGTTTGAAAATGCTTCATTTTATATCAAATAGTTTCTTATTATTTATTTCCCAATTTCTGATTCTGTTTTTCCATTTTATTATGTTTGCCTTAAAATTGTTTTCTCTAATTCATAATAGACAAGTTGGCTGGTGATTGGCTTGAACTTATAGACTTAATTTCAAGCTCCAGCTTGAACTCGATTAATTAATCAAATTTAAACTCAAACTGAATGTGACTTGAACTCGACCCGTTTAGATCTCTATTTATCATCTCCTTCTGCTTACAGCTGAATTTTTATATTTGTGTACGTGTGATATTCGTATAAATTGCAAATGTAATTATCAATCTCAATCACTATAGAATAATTAAAAATTGGTAGGAATAAAAGAAAAAAATGGAGATAAATTGTGTGGGAGGATTCTTCTTCTTTTTCTTAGTGCATGTCCTTACTATAGAATAACTCTATTTTCTTCATTTGCATAAGAATAGAAAAAAGATAATTTATTTTAAAACATTGCAAGATAATACAAACATTTTATCATTTGGAGAAAATAGGTGAGAAGTGTTGTTTTGATCTGTATTTAATCAAAATGATTTCTTAACATTTTAATGTGATAGATTGTTTTAACAATCATTTCTGTAGAATGCATTTTCATCTTAAAATAAATTCAATAATTTCAAAATTATCCTCCAAATTAATATTTAATCTAATTTTTCCTGCCATTTAATTTTTATCTTAATTAATTGCAAATCATCATAATAAATTGGACTATGAAGACTGCTCTCTTGTCCACGTCCAATATATTCATCACGAATATTACTTTTTGCCTGTGGATCTCAACATATTATTAATAAAAAATAAAAAATAATAAAAAAAAAACTTAGACATAAGATTATTAGAACAGTTGTTAATTCTATAAGAAGAATAAAAAATAGTTTGTAAAGATGGTGATGGGAATATCATATCCTTCCCTTTTAATAAAAGTAAAGTGTAAAGTATGTCGCACCTGATTGAGCATGGGTTGATGCACTTTATGCAAGGGGAGATCAGTTTTCGAGCGTTTGTGTCTAGGACCATGGCCGACGCAAAAGTAGACCCAAGAGCCCTAAAATTGGGCTCCTGTGATCCACAACTCTATTATGTGTCATCGTCTCCATCGACTTCCTTTCGTCGTCTCCATTGCCTCCTAAGCTTCTTCGGCGAGACCAGCTCCGATTCACTGCTCCAAGCCCATCAAGGTGAGAAATCTTCTTCCACGCCTCCAATTTTTGGTTTAGCATAAGTTTTCATTCTTTTTTTTCCTTTGTAAAGGTGTTAGATCCGAAAGTACAAGTTTTTTTTCATATTTCATTGTTAGGTATGCAATGCATATGGATTTTATCGTTTTCCCTAAGTTTGGGCGTGAGATATGTAAATACATAAGAAATATTATGCTATGTATGTAAATATGAAATTTAGGAGCGAGATATGTGAATGCATAAGAAAATTGTGGCACGAATGTAAATATGAAATTTATGTGTGAGAAATGTGAATGTATAAGAAATTTTGTGATATGTATGTAAATATTAAACTTTAGGAGTGAGATATGTAAATACATAAGAAATTTGTGCTATGTATTTAGAGTAAAAAATTTTGGTGTGAAATTTGTAAATACATAATAACTTTGTGTTTGGTATGTAAATAGGAAAATTTAGGCGTGAGATATATATGTAAATACATAAGAAATTTGTGATAAGTAAGTTTAGGGTGAAATTAAGCAAATGTTGATTTTTGTTTGGTTAAGGGTAAATGAATAGTGTAGTGATTTAATACTATAATGGTGAGTTGATGGGTAAGTTTGGAGTTAACGGGTTAATTGGTTGATTATCTCGATTTATGGGCTATGGGTTTTGGGTATGATGTGTAGGTGCTCTAAAATTTCAAGTAGGATGTGTAATGTGTAAGTTCACTAATCTATAGAGCTACATTTATGATACAGACGTATATTGGAGGCGTTAGATCTTGGATGTATAACATATTATATCTAGAAAGAAAAAGATGTGTTCCATACCATGTTGATAGAGCAGTCTCTCTGAAGGGAGTAAGTCCCCCAGGTCCCGAGTTCAAATCCCCTAGTGGCGTGGTGTCACCTTAAACCAAGTAGTACTCGAATTATTTGCACACCAGGTCGCCCGCAGACCTAGCGGGGGTTGAGCCCATAGGATGGGTTGGGGATCTCACGCCCCAACCCATTCTTGGCCAGAGACTATTATACGAGCCTCCAGCTACTCATAATGTGTCTAACAATTCGAGTATCACATCCTTAATGTTAACTGTGTCAGAGGGGATGTGGAGGACAAAAAAAAAGTGGGTATACACAACATATATATATATATATATATATATATATATAGAGAAATTAAATGAAGATTTGTATACTAATTAGGAGGTAAATATGTTTTAATTAAACATTAATTTATAATGTGTGTCAGAAAATTCATTGTGGTAGAGTAATAAATTATCGTCATAAAGCAGCACAAAATCCTGAGCACACAAATAAAAGAAGAGTAGCGAGAAGATGCACCATGATTATTATGCTAAAAATTATGGAAAGAGATAAAAATCACGGGTTTGACCCAGTTGAAGTAATTTATTATGTAGTTATGAGTAACTAGCCTAACTCTTCTTCTAAGTTGGAAAAAATGGAATTACAAAGTTATTGTACAATAGTATTTTAACAATAATAGTTATAAGGGGTCGTGAAGTCCATCTTCGATTGATATGGAGGCAGTAATCTGATGTGAATGTTGTAGATGATGGATATAGCGTCACCATGTCATAGAAGTTGTAGTTGAAAGCCGTGATAGTAGTTAGACATATATGACGTAGATGGTTGTTTTGGGAGCGTCAGTTAACTATAAAGACAGTGGTATAAAATTGTAGGATTTGCGGATAACATAGGCCGTAGTTGGTTACATATGTTATAATTGTGAGTCACAATAACAAACGTGGCCATAAGGGCCAGACTTGGGCATTGTATGAGTTGTGAGTCACGTGGATCGTAGTTAGTCATGCAGGTCATAATGATGAGTTGTGATAAAGTCCATAGACCACAGAGGCTAAAGTTGGGAACTGGGATGACAATTGTAGTCCACGGATGGAAGTTGTATGAGTTGTGGATCACACAAGTCATACTTGGTCACATAGGTCGTATGAGGAGCTGTAGTAGGGTCAATTGGGCCCAAGCTCGTAGTAAGGGGCTCCAGTTGCAGTCAACTACATAGGCCTAAGCCGTAGTGGAGAGTTGTGATGAGGGAATCTTAGAAGTTTAGAGAATTTCGTTGTTTAATGAGTACGGTTGTTGTAAGCAGTTATTGTGAGGAGTTACACCATACTCAATGTGTGTTGTCACACCATCTTCAGGTTACATCATTACACTGTCTTTGGGATGCATCATTATTCTGTCTTTCAAGTGTCATTATACCATCTTTGAAGTGCATCATTATACCGTCTTCAGGGTGTGTTGTTATATCATATTCGTGGTGCATTGCTACATTACCTTCAAGGTGCATTGTAGCACTGTCTTCAGGGAGCATTGTTACATTGTGTTTGGGGTGAGTTGAACATCATATGATTTAGTGAAATCAACGAGTAGGGGGTGGCCTAAGGTGGTCGATGGAGGCTCCGGCAAACGGTGGTCAAGTGTGGAAGGTGGCTATAGAAGCATGAAATGTTGCTGGTTTTTTAGTTCAAAATAAGACCAGAATTTGACTCACCTTTTTCCCGGTCCAGCTCTGGCTCCAAGTCCTCCACCATGTTCCCCCTTCATGAAGCAAGTAGGGCTCCATTTATAAAGCCTTAGAGTGACCTTCTCTTTAAATTATTCGAACGCCCTAGAGAGAATTTCACGTTCGGACGACATTTTATAGATATTAAATGACTCAATGATGTCAGAATCGAGTGATCATGAACTTGTTAAATTTCTCTCGTCAGGACGCTCGTTTTTACTATAAACTTGTTATATTTGAAATCCATTTGACCTTTCAATTAAGCACTAAAAGCTTTCAAAAGCAGTTTAATAGCTTGATGCTAGCTTGATTTGACTCATATTTGACCAATTTTGGTGTTGTGTTCTTCTCATTGAGCCAGTCAGTTTGATTATAGTTTTATTGAAACAATTCAAAATAATTTCTAATTTAAATTTGAATATTTCTTGGTCAAAAAATATTCCAAATTTTTTGTTTATCATCTCAAGATTTGTGCCAAAAGATAAAATTTGTTAATGATGTATAAATCTAGCCACAATAAAACAAGGAAAGAGATTTTTTTTTTGTGCCACATCAAAATTTTATTTTTTTATAAAATTATTGCATATCTTTCAATAAAATTATCACCATATCTTCAAATTCATAATTTTTTTTTTTATCAAGTTGTCGTTTTTAATAATTTTGGTGTCATGCTCGTAACTCCGTTAATAGGCGAATTAATAGAAAGTTAATAAGTTGATCATTTTGTGTGAAACTTTCCTTTAGTAATAAGAATTGACCGACTTCACTAATCCCCCGCTCAACTTATATTATTATTATTTTTTCTTTACGTTTTTACCCTTTCCAAACGAACCGGTAGTTCAGTTGAGACGGAAAAAATCTCAGTGGCGAAACAAGTAAATAAAGCTAATAAGCAGTGGCAGTTGAATAACTGACCGTTCCTGCCTCGCCAACAAATCATTGGCATGTAGGAGAAATCAATAATGTGCACTCATTTAAATATAATATTTGGAGATTTACATGGATAGCAAATACTTTTTATATATTTATATATCTAATACTTATTTATTCGTATAAAATTACTTATTTGACCATACAAATATAAATTTTAACATTATATTAAAAATACTATTTGTACAAAAAAAAATATGTCATCGCTAATCATGAGAAGATCTGATGATCTAGAAGAAAACAGTATGAAGAAGAAGGATTCACCGACAGAAAACCATAAGACCCACTTGTATGAACGCGTGGAGTTGTTCGAGCCGAAACCAACAAAAGCCAAAGCTAACCGAGGCACGAGGATGATCACAAGACAACCCAATGTTCTGAACTAAAGCTATTTCGTTAGAAATGAGACAGACACATATGAGCCAATCTCTATGGAAAATCTGATTCGGGGAAAGATCTAGTCTCGCAGCATCTCCAATCATCCGGCCCTCGTCAGTTATCAAAGATCAACAACCACACTAGATTAGTTAATCGACTAATAATGAGAAAGCTCCGCCAATCGACTTGATCCTACTTAGTTGATGAAGCTCATCATGCTGATTTGAAGCTAATTAAACTTAGTCAGGCAAGCTAGAGAGGACCAGAATGACAAGCTCATACATATAAAAAACCATAAATACCCTAGTAATTATCCCATAAAACAGGGGAAAGAATGTAGCATCATCATATCACACTCGATTCTCTATAAACAAGATCATTGCATTAATAAGACATATATTACTATTCATTACTGTTTACTACTCTCTTATTACTTACGCTCTATTCATTAGTTGTGATTCACGAATAAATCAAGATTCAACATTCTAAAATGTGCTATGAGCGTGGATCATGCCACAACCAAGAAGAGAAGTAGCTCAAGGAGAAAAAATTCACAATATAAGCACCGCCAACACGAAATGTCTTCTAAAACGTAGTAGAGTCAAAAGTAGAATGATCAAATGTTGGATGCTATCCGAAACATGCTAGTCTAAGAAAAGATCTGTACCGCTGAGAGGAAGGGTCAGCGCCCAACGGCATAAAAGTTTCACCGACCCAAGAAAGAGAATGTGACTCTGTATTTTAAAATTATTGGGTTGGCACCGATCAACCGACAATGATTTGAGCGTACCAGGGCGCCTCGACAGCCCGAGAATGTGTTTTCTCAATAAATCTCAAAAGTTGAGCCCCAGAAGATCGTAGAATTGGAATCCTTCAAAGGGGAAGACCAATCCGACCGAGCCCATAACCTCATTTGAGTCGGCTGTATGTTTGTTGAGAATCACTAATGTGCTAAAATGTCGTCTCTTATTGAACACACGGAGGGAGCCGACCCTCAGGTGATTCAATGGATTACCATCGAAAGAAATCACATCATTCTCTGATTTCAAATAAATGTTTGTGGCACAGTTTGTCAGTGCCCAACATCCCTTAAAAAAGCTCACAGGACCTCATGTAGATTTGTCTAGGGCTGAGCGAGAGTCTGTGATCATTCATTACATGCTTCCAAAAAGAAATGTTGGAAAAATGGAACCTGGAGCCCACAATCGCTCATATGTTTTAGCTCAGGGACTAAAGAGAGATCTTTTGGTCTGCATTGGGCCTGCATTGATCAAAGACATTAGTTGTGTTATTAAAGTTGGGCAAAAACCTCATATAAGCTGAGGACTATGGGTGTGTTTGAGGCGGTTGTGCAGTGGCAGTGTGATGTCATAATGCATTTTTTCCTATTTGGTAAAAGTGTGTTTTACCTGCGTTTTCAAAAGATGTAGCTGAAAATTGTGTTTTCCAACCATGGTTGGCTACTGTGGTGGTTGTTAGAAAATTGTGGCTTGACTTTTTCAAAAAAAATTCTTTGTAACAGCTACAACATTTTTTTAAACAATAACTTCTTCTTCAGCAGCTTTACAGTTAGTTCTTCAAATAGCTACAACTGCCTCAAACAGACCCTATATATCCAATTTCATTTTCTCAATAGTAAAATTCTTCACCCACCGCCTAACAGCCAAAAGAGTAAAAACATCTTCTTCTTAAGCAACTTCACAATTGGTTCTTCAAATAGCTACAGCTGTCCCAAACAGACCCTATAAATCCAATTCCATTTCCTCCAGAGAAAAGTTCTCCACCAACAAAATTGTGTTTTTAAAAAGATGCAGTTGAAAGCTGCATTTTCCTACCATGGCTGACTATCTGTGGTGACTGCTAGAAAACTGTGATATAACTTTTTCAAAAATATTTTTCTTTGTAATAGTCATTGTAGCTCTTAAAAAACAACTTCTTCTTAAGCAGCTTCACAATTGATTCTTTAAATAGCTACAGTTGCCCCCAAACAGACCTAATAACTCCAATTCCATTTCCTCTAGAGAAAAGTTCTCCACCTAACACCCACAGAAGAGGCCCCCCAAGGCAAAAAGTGAAGACAAGACATGATTAGAGTCCTTCCGCAAGTCCACATTTTGAAGACATCAGACTGCCTTGTAACCAGAGAACGGCTGAAAAAACATACCACCAAGGGAATCAGGCTAAATATCTTGACTAGCGGTCAACTTGATACAATGATCGCTCGATGTCTAACAATGAAGTACCCAAGACAACTTCATTGAGAGTTCTGATGGCCAAAAGATAGTGGATGCCACCGCATTGATCGAAAATAACCAGATTAGTAGCATCCTCATCGACATTGAAAACTCTATGAACATCATATTCAATTCAATGTTAGATAAAATAGGTCTCGACAATGACTGATTGACAGCAGGCGGCTGCTGGCCCGCTTTGTGGAATCTCTGACCAGAGAAAGAAAGTAGTGGGAGCCATTGCTATACCAATCACTTGGAGAGAAAAGGAAAAGTAGTTCGCCAACATGGAGGACTTCCTAGTGGTCAACTCGACACTCACTTACAATGCTATCTTCGCCTCAACCTATCACGTGCTTGTGAATATGCGTACAAATGAGAAGATTTGAGCTCGAGCCACCCTCGATATGAGCTCGAGCATACAAGTTCAAAATAGTCACGAGTCAACTTATTTAAAATTATTATTTTAAACTACTGTAATAATGAAATGACAAATATAATGAGCATTTATGAGATAATTAATAAGAAATCGCTTAATATAAAAATCTCAAATATAATTTTTAAACTATTTTTAATAATTTAAAGAAAATTTCTGAAATTTTAATATATTTAAAGTATAATTTTATTAATTGTTTTTTTAAATGAGACGGCTCACGATCTAACGACACAATCTGAGGTTAGCTTAAACTTGGGTCGTTTGCTCCTTGAACGTAATTCACAAGCTAGTTATCAAGTGAAGCCCAAGCTGGCTCACAACCAAGTTGGGTCGCTTACACTCCTAGTTGAGAAGTTCTGGGCAACATTGAAGTAATCCCTGTTCACGCGATCTCGAGGAGTCCCACAATTATTACCTTCGGGCAATCAAAAGTATCAAGCATGGACCTCTTGAGCTTGATAATCTGTGAGAATAGGGTCTCGAGACTAGCGGGACCACCAATTGGATATCGGTGACCGAAGGCGACACTAGTAATTTTTTTTTATAATAAGTAAAGCTTTTGATGCAAGGCACAAGGAGGTGTCGATCAACGCCTTCTAAAGCCACCGAGATGTTTTTGCCTAATCTACAGTCGAGATTTCAAGAATACTGATTAATGTCTTAAGCCAATGTCTGAACCTCAATCTAGCAACTCTGGTTGAACTAATATGGGAGGAGGTCCATAAGCTGCTAAAGTCCAATTACGTACCATAAGTGCAATATCTAACGAGGGTGTCTAACACTATCATGATGCGAAAGTCAAACGACAAGTGGAGAATGTGTGTGGACTTCACAAATCTGAACATTGTTTGCTCAAAAGATAGTTACCCTCTGCTGAGAGTCAAAGAGATTGTGGATGTAGTTGTCAACCGTTTTGTGATGAGTTTCCTTGAGCCTTACCTCGCTATCACTAAATCAAGATGCACTCTTCCAACACAAAAAATACCGCATTCAACACCAGCGAAGGAGTGTAATGTTGTAATGTAAAGCCCCTTGAGTTTAAAATGCTGGCAGTACTTACTAACGAATGATAAATGTAATCATCACAAAAAAAAGAAAAAGAATGTTGAGGAGTGTGGATGATATCCTGGTAAAAAGTAGAAATGCACTAGCAACATATAAAAGATCAAAAAGAAACATTCAAAATCGAAAAAAAAATTAATATGAAGCTCAATCCCCTCAAGTGCACTTTTGGGGCATCCATAGATAAATTCTTAGGTAATCTCCTAACTTTGGAGAGAATAAAAGCAAACATAGAAAAAGATCAAGCGCTGATCAACACCCCCCGAAACACGGAAGAAGTTCAAAATTGGCTGATCGGATCGCAGGTCTGATTGAGTTAATCTCAAAGTTGGGCGACAAGTGTGTTGCCTTTTTTTAAATCTTAAGGAGGGCAAAATACTTCATCCGATCGATTTTACGACAACTTCTGAAATATCCGTAGCCAAAACCAACAGCTAGCAAATGAACTTATTTACCGATGCTTAACCGACGACTTAAGTGCTTCACAAGAAACTTACGGGTGAAACACTTTTCAGAAAGTTTAATCTTCTATATTAATAATTGACGCCTTACCGACAAAAAAAACAACAAAATGTTGCATCACATGAAACCAACGGACACGATATTTTTTTGATAGTTTAAAAGTCAGTTTTAATAACCAACACATTACCGACACAAATACGATGAAATGCTATGTCAAACAAAACCGACAGGTGCGACACTTTTTCGATAGTTAAACCGTCGGTTTTTTATAATTGATGCAATAGCGACATTGAGTCGAAGGAATGTTTGCATTAATAAATTGACCGACGCGTCACTTTTCCAACGTTGAGGTTGTCACTATTACCAACAGTTCCCTCGTCGGTTATATGAACCGACAAACACCAACGATATTAATTTTCTCTTAAAAAACTACATTAAATCGTCGGTTATGCATCGGTAATTTTACACGGTCGAAATATCAATTAATTTTGGAATTACTGACAAACATTTTACCTACGAGCCTACAACATTCGGAAGTATCGAACGACGGTTTTTCTCATTATAACCGATAGAAATTGATAGTCTAAAAAAGCAATTTTTTCGGTGTTGTATTAAAAAAACTTTAAAGGCTTCATATTGTCATTTGAGTAGTCAAATAAACTTCAAATTTGACATACTTATACTCACATCGAGCGTACCGACGAGAGGAATCCAAAGAGCCTAGGATCGCTTAATAATGAGGTCATTAAGGCTCTCAAATCATTAAAAAAATTCATATGATCGCAGGGGATCAATATATGTAGTTAGATCATGTCGTTAAGGGAGTTATTCGACAAAATGGCCAAAATATGCTTCCTTTATGGGCTATAAATAAAGACCCTCTCTTCACTGGGACTGGAGATGAGAAGAAGTCGAATTTTAGTGTTGTTTTGGACTGAAGACCTGACAATAATTTTCGGTCTCCGTAGTCGTCGACCACTATCGTCCACCGTTGTCTGTCAGACCATGCACGTCATCATCAGCTGCCCCTATTTTTTACGTCATTTTTTGAAATATGTTTGGAAAGCATAATGACATATTGAAGATTCAATGATAACTTCCATTGACTTTCTATTAACTTCTAAAGTGTTACGTATATTGCAAACAGACAAGCATTGTAACTGATGTAAAATTGTAACATTTTCTCTCCAAGTTGTGAGAAAATTATGTATATTTGTAACAACACACTTGTAGTGAATTACATTAATTGGGTTAATTAATCCCCATGATTTTTTGTCTTTCCAAGTTTTTCCATATAAAAAATCTTGCATCTTCTCCCAATTGTCTTAAATTATTAATGTGTGTTGGAACTCCATGCAATGCTAATACGTTAAAGTATCATTTTATCGCCACGAATCTTCAGACATGCAGCAAGATGAAATATAGTTACGTTCATAGATGTGTAAAATGTTCAAATTACTTCCAAAATAGAAGGTTATATGCACAAAAACTATTAAAACTAAATTCTCAACATTATCAATCTTCTTAATTATTTAAGTTTAGTATAAGTCGACAGCTTTCCATTTCCTTAAAGCAGAATTTACATGCATACCACATAAAATTTATATATTTATATATATAAATTTTAATATTTACTTATATAACACTTACATCTTCAACATCAAATAAAAAATATTACTAATTTCAAACTTTTAAAAGTAAAGCACTTTTAATGCAAATATGTGACATGTAAAGAAATAAAAAATATCAAATATATAAAAAAATAAAACCATAAAAAAAAGGTGGTATCTATGTAAATACCCTTCTCAAATAGAAGAACGCGCGCTCGGAAGTCCCTTTTATATTTCGTCATCAGCCCCATATTTCTTTGTAGCTGAATCCGTTGCCATTTCTCTTGGCTGATCTGGGATTAGGGTTTGGAGAGGATGCCGAGATCGATGGGGAAAGGTAGCGTGCAAGTGACTTTCTCGAAGAGGCGGGCGGGTTTGATGAAGAAAGCGCATGAGATCTCCGTCCTCTGCAACGCAAGCGTGGCGCTGGTCATCTTCTCCAGCAAGGGAGCTCTCTACGAGTACTCCACCGACTCCAAGTGCGCATCCCATCGATCCTGCTATGTTCCCTCTCTTTCTCAACTCATTCCGATCAGTTGATATCCCATAGTTTTATATGGCATCGATCCATCCGTGTTTTGAAATGGCCTCGATCATATTGCATTTTGGCATGCAATGATCGATTCCTGCGAATTTAGGCGGCATGCCATGATGGCATTTTCTTCAATAATGGACACGAGATGCAATCGTCTGATTCTGCTGCGCTTTTCTGCTTGTTTGTTGTTATTCGGTGTGCTTTTTTCTGAATTTTATTTTATATTTTAAAGCTCACCTTTCGGCTTCTATTCTAAGCTACCGGTTCTCTTGAAACTCTCTTGTTAACCAGAGTTAGTGTAAGAATTATATATCCACTGTTTTTACCCCTAACTCTCCTGTTATCTAGTCCTCTCCGCACGAACTCATATACAACACATATACGTACGGACAGCGTTTGGTAGAAGCAGCTAACCATTTGTGTTGCCTTTTTTTTTTTTTTTACACGTGTTCAAGTTCAACCGGAAGTCGGATCAATAATAAGCCCTGCCGAAATACGTGTGCCGACTGGCGACGCAAACGAACTTTAACTGTTTAATTATAACTCTCCCAACCATCTAGTTTTTTCATCAAGATCGAGCTTAAAAGAGATCACGACGTACGGGTGCCATGGGATTCTTACTCGGTTAAACGTTCGAAAGAATGAATTAATCTCACAAAATATAAATACTAATGCATATTTAGGAGCATTATATTGATTACTTTTGTTGAAATCAGATTTGTCCAATGAGACATGTCTAAGGAATAGTGGTAGGAATGAAAGGGGGAGGAAGAGGGAGGGAGGGAGGGAGAGGAGTGCATGGTGACTTGTCCTTTAGGGGCAAAATGGAGTATTCCCATGCTCTAGTGACCCTTTTCATATATCGAATATGAGGTTATAAGGAGAATGAGAGAGAGATTCCATACAAAAGAAGAGTCAAGAGAGAAGAGCCAAAAGCTCCTAATAGATGATCTGGTCCCCCTATTTATAAATGTAGAGGGACAGAATATAAAATTACATATTTTACATCTATTTTAGATGGGGTTGTACAGGGCATTCTCGTTGTTTTGCATATTTAGGTCTTTTGCTAGGTAGGTCTTTGGGTCTGCCGACTGAGCTGGATTTGGTAGGCTTTCATTTGAGCACCGGTGATTTTGAATAAGGAGTCAGTTCTTGAGTGGGATGGTCGGCCAGTTTTCCTGATTATTGTTCCTTAGTGATCTTCGATAATCTTTTGGGGAACTTTTAAGAGAGTTTTGTGTTGATATCGTTAGTAGATTAGAAGTGTTAGACTTTTGTCTTGAGTTTGCATTTGGTCGATTGGCAATTCTTCCGTCGGCTGAGCTTACTTTTGGTAGGCTGGCAATCCTTCGGTCGGCTGGTAACCCTTCGGTCAGCTGGGTTGGCTCTCAATCTGTCAAATTCATGTGGTCTTATGATTTTTTGTTAGAGGGATCATCATCATATCACCTTTGATCTTGGACAGTTAGATTATCTCAAGATTCGTGCTGACACATTTTTTTGTGAATATATTTAGTTCTCTATCTCTTATTACTTGATGGTGACAGCTGCGATAAGAACAAGAGAATTTCTAAAACAAAAAATAAATCTTAACAGTCATAATTCAAAGCAATATTAAATTCTCTAGGTTTCCAAGCCTGTGACTCTTATAAATGGGGCATAGTGAATGGTTCTCAACATTCTATATTTGTTTTTTCCTTACATCTGCTTGGCTTCTAAGGATATCCTTATGGAGAAAGAATCAGATTCTTCATCCAAACCTATGGACCGAGAGAAGATGATGGCTGCTACTGGGGTGAAGAAACAACACCGTCCGAAGGGTGAGCCTAGGAAGAAGTGGGAGAAGAAACTTGCCAAGAAGTCGAAGATGTCTGAGAGGGCCGAACAAGGGGAGTCATCGGATTTTATCTGGGAGGTTCCTCAGAAGAGTCGAACCAGTGCTGGGAAGGAGTTGGGTGGTTCGGGGGCTGCTTCGTCGACTAAGGCTCATGTTGTGGTCTCGAATCAGCCACAAACTGCTAGTGCTCCTCAACCGGCGAAGAACAAGGAACCCGCGGTGGTCAACAGTTGGTGGGAATTAAAGGAGTTGCTGGTGATCTCCCAGTGGAGAGAATTCTCAGTATGGATGTTTCCTTGTCTTAGGTTTTCTTTTATTTTTTTCACTTTTTATCAATTGTCTCTTGAAATCGAGGAGGGCGTCCAAATAGAGGGCTTTCCTCTTACGAGTGGTGACTTTGATGCAGCTGTGGTGTCGACTCCTTCACATCAAGCGTTAGGCGGGAGCAAGGGGGACATAGTGAACTACTCGATCAGCTCCATCAAGATCCATGAGGAAGTATTTGAGGAATTGAAGGTCACTCTGGCTCGGATGTCTGAAGCTTAGCGAGAGGACGATCTTCGTAAAGTGCTGGTTCGATTAATGAAGGAAGTTCTAGAGGAGACATTTGCTCTTCGTTGAAAAGTGATTGAAATGCAGAAGGATGCTTATGTGAAGAGGGCCCACTTTGGGGCCGACGGACCAAAATCAGTTCCAGCTCAGCAAACAAATGTTGTACAGGATGTTGCCTAGGAAGCGTCTTTTCTCGGCCGAGGCGACCGAAAACCTGTTTGTAAAGTACCTTCTATTGAACTAGAGTCCGAGTGTAATCCCTTAGTATTTTCAAAAAAAAAAAATATTTTATTTTCTTCTCGATTTATGGATTGACATAATGTTTTTCTCTTAGCATTTTTGCACGATGGTTCCTCTTTCGACGTATCCCTATATATTAGGACAGAATGTGCTCTTTTGCGCTCGTTTTATCTTTCCTTTTGCCTGTCTGTCATTCAGTTTCTTCTTTGTTTGCAATCATTTTCATCTCTTTTTTGTGGCTCTGCAAAGAACTTTACAAACCTTAGGGTTGGTGGTGGTGACCGAGCAGTCAGTTTTGTTTCTTTCGATTATCCAGTTCTGGGTCGCTCGTCAGAACAAAAGGGCTACTAATTGGTTCATAGATGACTTGGTGATTTATAGGGATCAGTTGAGGTATGGTCTGTGACTGGCTCTCTGTCAGGACTTTTATGCAATTTCCAAGCGATATTGTGTTATTCCAGCGCAGAAAAAGCCGAACTCCATTGCAACAATCATGACTTATATAGTCTTTTGTCAGTACAAAGGGATTTCGTGGTTGACTGACCTGTTCAGCAATATGTTCTCATTCCAGGTAGAGGTCGATGGGTATGTTTAGTTCGATACAGTTGGTCGGTTCTAGTTCTTGAGTTTGGAGAACAAAGTGAAGGACTGAAAGTTGAAGTTCTTCATCACCTCGTCTTCTTCGAGCTGGGGGATCATGACTGTCCCGAGTGGAGGCACCTTCAAGAAAAAGGACGGGGTGGACTATTCTTGCATCAAGAGTACTTGGATCAAAAGACAGTTTCTATCAATTCTCCAGTATACTAACCCGGTCATTGTTAATAAAACGGTAATGCAAAGGAAATAAAACGGGATGCTATGATTGATGCTAGAACCGCTTTGAAGAAAAAAAATAAGATGTGGCTCGGGTAAAGTTGGTTACTGTCAAGAGAGCTGTGAAGGCTAAGAAAAACTTGGAATCTCACGACGACGGAGCCAACACTAGAGGTTTGGATTTTATTTTTTCTATCTCTACGACTATGGTGATTATTTAGAGAATGCTCGCTGATGAATTAACCATTATAGAGAAAAAAAAAACCTTCGTTTTTACTGACACCTATATGTTGGGTGTGGTTCCTTGGAGCATAGGTCAGCAAGAACGTGAAGGGTCGTACGGTAGCTCGGAAAAGAGTGAAGCTACGAGAGGAAGCTTTAGCAGAAATGAGGACAGGGTCAGCTTCCCCTCATATTGATACTGCAACATTCATAGGTATGTCCGCTCGGAGAAAGGCTAGTCGGCCCTCTTCAACTATTCAGACCGAGTCAGGGACTGAACCAGAAACATCGTATCAGCAGAAATAAATATGCCCCTTGGAAGGGAAGGAGGGCGCTTCTAGATTGATTCCTCCATCGCCTATATCCTTTTAGAAGAAAGGAAAGGGTTCTTCAGTTGTCTGGTCCCTTCTCGAGAAGAGGGAGTCTAGGTGTGGACCTGCTCTAATGGGTAATACACTGCGATTGACCCAGAGATGGATTGGTATATCGGTTCTTATTCGGTAAAAGATTATCCATCCACATTCACAGAAGCAATCTGGTCCATGACCTTTGCCAAGTCTTTCAAGGTGCTCAAGCGTCCAGAGCTATATTGAAAGGACCACTACCACATCAAGACATACGAGGCTACATCTGCAGAGAGTGTACATATGAATGAGCAGCTTGAAAGAAAATCTTGTGAACCCCATGTGGTAGTGGTACATATGAATGAGCAGTTGTATTGAGAGGGTACATCTGCAGATGTAGCCCCTTGATCGAGTGAAATTGAAAAGGGCTACATCTGCAGAGAGGGTAGACACTTCGACTATGTTCATGAAGAAGGAAGAGAAGCAAGCGATGGTGGCCGAGCAAAAGCTGGAGGCAGCGGAGGATGAAAATAAGATGCCTAAGGAGAAAATAACAACTATAAAGATCGAAGAAGAGTTCCTCGATATGTTCCCTTCTCATCCACATGAAGTGAAAATTCTGAATGAGCAGTTTTGGATCGGTATCGTCATGGTGATCGACCAATTCATTAGGTTGAATCTTGTGAACTCCATGTTTGCCGACTTAGAAAAATTTGTTCTGCATTACACTTGTTTCGAGGAATTGACAAAAGAGGGCTCGAACGCTAGAGGTGATAGAGGATCCACTCTGAACTCCGGTCGGTCTACTACGACTTAAAAAAAATTTGTTGAAAAAACTTCATAAAGATATATATTTTTTGTAAAAGAACTCTTTCGTAGAGAAAACTTGTACATTTTTATATTTAGAAATGAATGAAGTTTTCAGTCTTTTTTTGC